AAAACAGGATGGGAAATTGCATCACTTGACAATTACTTAAAGAAAGATCTTATCCCCAGGGGACTAAGGGTACAAAATATACCAGCATCCCATATAGAGGAGGAGGAATTTACTAAAGAGTGGGAGGAAGCCGCAGCAATATGCTCCAAGAGATTTATGGAGATCCTTTGCAAATTTGAAACAAAAAGATTAGAAAGAGTTAATAAGGAGGTGGATGAGCAGATTAATAAGATCGCAGCCTTTAAAGACGAATCAAATTTTGAATCATTAGAGACAAAACTTAAGAATAACTTGGACAAATTTCAGCAAAACATCAAAATTCGGAAACACTCCAAGTTTATTAGAGATAATAATGACTTCAAGAGTGGGAATGTATATAAGAAAAATAGAAATTTTAGGAGGAGTTTTTCGGAACCAATATCTACATCAGAATATGAGACGAGTGGTTCAGATTCAGAATTATCTAAAGGGGGCCCTTCAGTTCCATTTGAACGAAATACTAAAAGTATATTGAAAAGAGGGGTCTCTTTTTTAGGACAACCCAGTATGGAAGAAAACATAGCCCCACGGACACGCAACAGAGGCAGACCACCCCAACAATTCAGAAGGAAAAGGTATTAGATCAGGCCCCTCTTGATAATCAGATTATTAATCTGTCTTCATACAATCTCACAAAAGTAGAGCTACAAGTCTTGCGGCGGGGTATGTCCTTTGTCCCTGTCTCCAATTTTGATAAATTTAGTTGGACAAAGGACATACACCTTTTTGCAAGAAAATTGGCTCTGCACAAATTTCACCAGATGAAAAATGAAAAAAGGGCAAAGGATCTAGGGCTACAAGCCTCTGACATAGGTGCACTGGATATACTAGTGGACCTGCTCACATGCAATGATGACTATACACAAAAACAACCTCCATTCACACAATTGAAAAAGAAAAGCCTGTTTACTCCACATTTAGTGGACTTTAAGTATATAGACCTATTTGTGGAGATGACATGCAATGAAATTGATAAAATTAACCAGAAAGATCTACTAATCCAGCCTCATAGCAATATATCTCCACAAGAAAGCATTTCCCTTAAAAAACTGAAAGATATGGATGAGGTGATTTTTAAACCCTCTGACAAAGGAGGCAATACGGTCATTCTAAACAAACCAGATTATGTTTCAATGGTACATAGATTAATTGGAGATAGGGAAACATACGAAGTATTAAATGGTGACCCCACACAAAAATATCTTGCTGAATTAAAAACAATTCTCGACACGGCATTGTCCTTATCTCTAATATCAAAGGAAGAATATAATTTTATGTTTGTTAAAAATCCGGTTACCGCCACATTTTATGCACTTCCAAAAGTACATAAACAGCAACCCATACTAAACGGAAGACCTATAGTCTCTGGCAGAGGCAATCTGACCCAAAACATAAGTCTATATGTGGATCAGATTCTAAGGAAACTGGTGTTTGAACTCCCTTCATATTTAAAGGACACCAAACATACATTAAACACTATAGAAGGGATTAAAATCACTGGCCATGCTATTCTTTGTAGCCTTGATGTGGAGAGCTTATACAGCTCAATACCACATGAGGTGGGTTTACAACATCTTCGAGCAATTCTAGATAGCAAACCAATGTTTTCACTAAGACACAATGAATTTGTCCATGATCTGATGCAGTTCATTTTAACACATAATCATTTTATCTTCCAAGGTAAATACTACCACCAGGTGAGAGGAACAGCTATGGGGATGGCTTGTGCCCCCTCATATGCCAACCTCTACCCGGGGTGGTGGGAGAGTACTATGGTGTTTAGTGAACATATGCAAAAATATACAAGACATATAAGAATATGGAAAAGATACATCGATGATGTATTGATCATATGGACAGATACCTCTGAACTCTTTCTAGATTTTGTCAACAATTTAAATTTAAATCATATCAATCTGAGACTGACGAGTGAAATTGGCGGCAACAAAATTAACTTTCTAGACCTTACTATTTCCCTGTCAGAGGGAGGGGTACTTACATCTACCCTCTTTCGGAAACCTACGGCAACCAACAACCTGCTGAACTGGACAAGCCACCATCCACCTTCCCAGAAAAAAGGGATCCGAGTGGGACAGTATCTACGACTAAGACGTAACTGTTCTACCGTAGAAGATTTTAAACTGAAGGCGAAGACTTTGCAATACCAGTTCAAACAAAAGGGGTACCCAAATAAATGCTTAAAAAATGCATATAAACGGGCATTATTGTCAGACCGTAAAGATCTCCTATTGGAAAGGAACGTAGAGACATCACAGGAGATTATTAGGTGTATAGGGAACTTTGATGCAGGTTGGCATCAAATTATGAGTATCCTTGATAGGTTCTGGCCCCTCTTACACCAAGACCCACACCTTCATAGGGTGATTACACCCAAGGCATCAGTAACAGCACGAAGGGGGCGCAATATCAAGGATATATTAGTCCCTAGTCACCTTAAAACAGTAGCTCCAAAAACCTCATGGCTGAAGTCTCCTGTCCTAGGCACATATCAATGCGGTAGATGCAAGGCGTGTACATTTATACATAGACCCTCCAAAACATTCTCAGACTCCTTGGGTGCACAAGAATTCAAAGTTCGTAATTTCTTTAATTGTCA